AAGAGTTGCATGTAATTCGCCTATTTAAGAAGACTTTTGTTCAAACATCAAAATCTCTTGAAACCTTTGGCTATTTGATGTGTTTTCAAAAAGCTTACATAACTCCTTTTAGCTCCACTTTTCTCTAATTTTTTCCTTCTCTAAAAAGAGTCCCACCACTCTATTCCAAGCCTTGAGAATAGCTAGGAAGATCTCTTGCTGGTCCTTCATGGGAGCTATTTGAAGATTTTTGAAAAGCTACAAAGGTTTGTATTTTTCTCTACTTATCTCTAAGCATCATAATGTATGATCATGTATGTTTAATCCTAGGTTGTATTATGCATCTAGATTGTTATTTCGATTCTTGCTCACTTCCGCTGCGCATTTATGTATTTTTTCCATCACAAGATGCATAATTACATTTACAAAAATAAAGATAAATACATTGATAAATATACTCTTTCATATTGTAAACACATTTAATTGTTTCAAAAAGATTAAAATAGGAAAAATATAATATATAATAAATTATAAAATATTGAAAAATTAAAATTCTACGAAATTTATAACAAAAATATTAATATATTAATTAATATTATTTTAGATTAGACTAAATTTTTAGTCGTTAACTCCAACTAATTTACAAATATTTTACAAAAAAACATTTGAACAAGTTTTTAAATTGAAATTAAATTTTTAAATCTGCTACCAAATACATATCTCAAAGTACTGAAAACAATAAATACAATTTTTGTTTTTTATTGGATCTCTTATTTTCAAATTTCTGTTTTCTCGTCACAAAAACACACCCTTAATCATTTGGACTACCAATTACTTGACCAAATTTTATTTTGAGCCAATATATCGATATAATTACTATCCAAACAAATAATACTTTTTAGAAAACTATTTACAAGAGTCTTCAATCAACATCACTTTTCTATAAAGATTATTGCATAGACACTTGTACATCCAACTTGTAGCTGCAACTATCTCTTCCTTTTGAGACACAATCACCCAATCGAGTTAAGGGTGTGTTTGGGAGTGATTTTGGCAGGGTCAAAATGTCAAAATCACCTCCCTTCCCATTGATCATGTTTGGCAAATCAAAAAATTGATTTTAGGGAAGTAACAAAAATCAATTATACTTGAATCTTTTTTTTAAATCACTAATTCTATCATCACTCCCAAATACACCTTAAATAAGGTAAAAGAAAGTTACCTAGACTTGACCGCATGGATTCTTGTGTTTCTTTACTCCATAATGTATGCAGTGACTTGTAATTTATACTAATATCTTAACCTTTTAAAAGGAATTCCAGACCCCTGTACTTTGCAAAATCTATAAATCATGTAATTTTATTAAATTTTATCATTAATCTTTATAGAATCAATACACGTGACTCATGTGTCAATTCAAGATATGATTTATAAATTCACAAACTACATATATTATGATGTGCAAAATAAATAAACTATAGATACCATTACCCTGAAGATAGTTTAGACTATACATATTACAAGTAAAATATGGCAAAACATGCATGCATCTGTACAATGGTCAAAATTTGCAACTGTGCAGTGATTAACAAAATGCTCCTTCCAACTCTTCAAAACCAATGAGCTGCAGCAAGATCCACCTCAGCCAAATATGTAACTTGAGTTATATTTGAGCCTTAGAAAGCTTTTGAGTCAACTTCAAAGTGATGTCACCATAAGGTTCATCTTGTTGTACATCAATGAGATCATAACTCTTCAAAACCTAATGAACAGTGCAAAGTCGCAAATCCAATATCAGTAGACAGTAAAATTTCTTTCTTTCGGTCAGGAAGTTGCTCAAGTGTAAAACCTTATCAAAATACAAAATAACTATTAAGAATTTAAAAAACTCGCGCCTGTAGCAGAAAAGATATGATGTTTCCAAATTGAAATTTAGGTACTTCATTTTGGTCTCTACCAAATAGTCACGTCGAACTTCAAAATTTTGAGAAAATTACCAGCATCTCATAAAACATCCGTGCACATAGCTTTCTTCTTTTCCCTTCTAGGATGTTGTTCAAAGAAAGATCTTGACTCGAGGGCTCGGAGATTGGTTTTACTGGAGACAGACTCATTAAATATCGACCCACAGCCCTGTCCACATTAAACACAAAATCAGGACAATTATAATAAGACATTTATAGTACTTGAAACATTCAGCTTTATGTGGGATCCTTTTTCTTGTTCCTTAACTTTTTAATTGTTTTCGTAATTGCCGTATTTGTTTCATCAAATTAAATTACGATATCATTAATACCCAATGGCCTTGGCCCCTTATAATTTGGTTCATATTGACAAATAAACAAGGTTTACTTCAATTATAATGGTCTTAAAGTAAATAATGGAAGAGTACCTAGTTCTCACTGATAATGAGTCAACTCTTCGAGTTCCCTGAGAGCCTGTATAAGCACATTAGTGCCCGAACATTACTTCAGAGTTCCAAGTAACAAAAACGCACCCAAGAAATAAATTTAAAGGAAACATCTGAACAATAAAAGTAACTACAAGATAATTTAGTTTACCAGGTGGTGAGTTATCTGCTTCCAGAAAATAAAGTTCCTACAGTAAATATATATTTCAGCAAGTTAGAGCTTTGTTAAGTGATTTCCAAACAAGTTCATAAATCCAGCGAAATAGAAGGTTGTATGAAAGGTAAGGATAGCCTTTAGGAATGTTACTTCTAAATAGAAAATTGACGAAATGTTTGAGAGACAACTTAAATGATTAAAATGGTGATGATCTGACACAATATGGAAATAGTAAATCCTAATTCAATTTCCAAAATTTTACCCAAAAAAACCGTTTTAAAATCTAGATTATATATTTGTGTGACCAAAAACCTACAGGCTCTACTTAAAATAGTGCTTGTGCATCCTAGGCTATCAAAAAATAACATGTAAAAGCCTAAAAACAATTGTTAACTCCAAAATAAAATCATATCACAGCATAAGTATAATCCCTTGAATATAGTAAACTCAACAGAGCAGTAATATTACGTAATCATAGTAAAGTAATATATATAATAGGAACTAATGCTTATCAGGAGGAGAAAACAGAGGAATATCACATCTTCGTGGTAAATTATGGAAGAAAATGAAGCACTAGTATTAAAGGAAAGACCTACCTCATCTGCAGTATTCATCAGCTCGGGAATATCCGAGAATGTGACATTTTCTCCACCAATTCCCTCGTCAATTGTTCTGGGAGTTTCAAACACAGATTTTGAAGGTTCGGTTGATATTAGTCCAGGTGTTGACAGCACTCTAGTGGATGTAATAACTGCTGATGGTGAGCCTAAACCTTCAGAATGCCTAGGAGAGGGCATGAACCTTGGCGAAGAAGCAACTAAGTTTGCCAAAGTATCATCCCCACTATTGCCTTCAACATCACGAAGATGTTCAATTTCCATTTCAGAAAAGGAAGCAGAAGCAGGATCGACAGTGGGTGGAATTATGGTATGTGGTGAGGAAGAAACTTCTGGAGCTGGAGATGGGGCATCTGCTCGATCCAAAATAGTTTTGCCTGTTGAAGCAACGTTTCTAGCATTCCCACTATCCACGGAAGCTTCCTTCAAGGATGTTGAACATTTTGTGGCAATGTAGTTCATGTTAAACATATCACTAAGATCATGACAAAAACCTGCATACAGATATTTGATTTTTTTCCCTACTATTAAAGGAATGCATAAACAAGCAGAAAGAAAAACTACAACAAAAAATCACTTACCAGTTATCAAAGGATGATAGAAAATTTCATCTTTTCTCAAGCTGTTGTTTAACTTCCAAACATCCAAAGAAGTGCTTGGAATGTTTCTCCTCTCACGCAGTAAATCACTCGAATCTTCAAGAGCCTTTTTCAAAAATCTGCAACGCTACTTTCCATATCAGCAATTGATTAAAATAAAGACAAAGGTTAAATGACTGATATCACAAACATACTTGTTAGTCAACACAGTGGACTTGTCAAAGAACTGTTTTCTCTTCCTTGATCTTGGCTTTGTCTCTTGAGCATTTGGTTGAAGAACAAGTTCCATGGGAGACTGCCCTGCTCCTGCAGCACATGGAGAATAAAACATCAAAAACCAAGATACCATAAGTTATTCACCACCAATTAGAATCAATCCTAGATATGGAGCAATTAGAATTAAACACACCAAACATAATATGCGTATCAATCATTTCAAACGCCTCTTGTGAAGTTGCAGAAGTTGGAGGTCCTGCACTTTCCTCAAATGGTAATGATGTCTTTGGAAGAGTCACCACGTCTTCCATGATTGGTGAAAGATTTTCTTGGTTTATATTCTCATCTATAGGATGACATGGTTCAGACATGTCATCACGGCCAACGGGAGGCACCATAGGAAGGTCTCTTGGACTAAAATCAGGGGCAGCCTCTCGTAAAACTTCAATTTCTGGAACATGTTGGGTAGAGTTATCATCATCACGCATGCCCTGATTACTTGGACCAAAATCTTGAACATTCATAGAATCCGGAACTTCAACTCCTGGAACACTTTGTTGCATGTTGTCCTCGCCGGGTCTCATGTTAAGTACATCATCCTCACCAATTAGGCCTTCAACATCCATAGTGCTATCCGTAGGAGGTGGAGGGAGCACGCTGCACTCAAGAAACATAAACATCAAGCTAATTGTGGTCAAATTATGTGATATAGAAAAAAGAATTGGCCTTGAAAGTGCAGGATGCTTACTCATCTTCCATTGATATGAACCCTAAATCAGGAGCCTCCCTAGGATGGGATAAATCTATCATGATATCCTACGTATGAAATTAAGAAATTTTAATATTGATGATAAACATAGCCAGAGTATATAAGATACACAATTACTAATGCAAATAGAAAAAGTCAAAACCTCATCGAAAGATATAGCAACATAAGCATCTCTTCCAAAAGGAACTTGTTCTGCAACACAAACATAATTAATTTCTAAGTCAATACGTTTATTAAGATGTTGGTGTAAACAAGAGGGAGTGATAAATGTGAAACGCAATCACGGCTAAACCTGCTAGAGTGATCTCCTCTTGACTCCTGAGATGATTATCTGGAATCCTACGATAACAAAATCATCGATAAGAGAGATATTTCAAATAAATCATCAAATTGGGAATCTAGATGCATACCCATCACGATAAATATCACTATCCAATTCGAGAGCATCAAGTTCGAAAGTCTCCGGCAAAGTGATGGAATGAAAAGAAGCCTGGTAAGCATTCTCAGGCAGAGTGAGTTTCGTCGAAGTGTGCGAATGCATTCTTCGTAACTCCATCACCAAAACATCAAAATCATGTTTCAAATAATCGATTTGCTTTGAATAAATTCGTACAACACCAAGCAGAAGGTAGCTCGACGTCCGCAGTGCAAGGGGAACCTCCCCAAACATGATGGCATCTAAAAACAGGATGAATCCAAGATTGGTCAATCACAAAACTCATACAAGCTCTCAAAAACAGGCAATAGAAATTAAAGATTAGATCTTTCAATGACCATAGAAACCCCAAGTGGAAACCATACTAACCAACAACGAGAGGAATTTTGGTCTTGTCGTAGTCCTTCTTGTTGAGACGGTGCTGGAGATGTGCCGCGCACCACACCGTCCCCAACGCCGTTTTCCGAGCCAACAGCGTATGCGAGTAAAACATGTTTCGATTTCCAAACTTTAACTTCAAACTGGAACAATTTTAGGGTTTAGGCTTAAATCGAAGTGGGCAACGCGAAGAGGCGCGCAAAATCAAAACTGCGCGCCAAATTCATAGCGGCATTCGTGCAACGTGGCCAGCCTCCACTTTCTTTTCCTTATTCACGGAATTGCCCCCACAATCAACAAAATGTTTAAATAATATTGGAAGGAGATTGAAAGTTATAACTTCTTGATTTGAGATATATATCAATTACTGATCAACTATATTTGTTTTGGCTTATTAATTAATCTTAGTAACTCGTAGAAATTAATTTATGATATTGCAGCTTAAATTTGGACAAGTGGTACAATATTTCACTTGAACTCTAAAAAGTGTTGCAGTTTTTACCTTTTTTTCATTAGATTATTATATGTGTCAGAATTAGAAAACATATATTTTTTATGAAACGGATAGAATTCAAAATACAAACAATACTAAAGTTTGAATTTTTTTTTCAAATTTTTTAGTTTCAAAGAATTATTTAACCACCGTTTTTTGTGCATAGTAAACCTTATTTTGATTTTTATTAATATATTGTGTTTATTTTCTTTTGGGATTTGTTGTGTTATGATTTAAATTAATAGGTGGATTAGTAGGAATATTGAATAGAAGATAAAAATTTCAATACTTGTTTGGAGAGAGAATACCCTGGACACGTGGAGGACCCCTATTGGTGCTCCAAGATGACTTACGAGTCATGCCCAGCTCGGACGCCCGAGATCACCACCGCTAGCGTTGACAGATGCTAAGTATGAGGGCCAAGGTGAACCTGGCCGAGGTCCGACCTACTGGGAAGCTCGGTGGG